AGGACTTCGGACACGACAGCATCCATATCATTCTTGTAAGCAATAATCTTGAAGCAGCTGCTCTCAGGATCGAAAAGGATCTCTGCGAACTGTGGACGACTTTGATATGAGTGACTGATGCATTTTGAGGACCATGGATTTTACGCAGAACGCGAGATCCAGAGGTCATCGGCAACGGGTAGCTTGGGACATGACTTACGACGGAAGAACGCTCCTTGGCTTCCTTGATGATACTGGCCGCCGTGGAGGGCAAGGGAACAGGGTGCATCCTGACTAGACCCTCCGAAAGAGCCGTCATTGTGGCGGGAACCATGATCAAACACTGAGAATTTGATCTCGCGATAATGCGTGATTCGATGAGTCTGTTTCGTAGTGAGGTCTACCGAATCCCCCTTCTCGTGTTTCTTCACATCAAACAGTGGTAGGAAAGAAGCTGGTGGGGTTGACCGAACCTTTATTTGTTGAGATGCGGAGTGGAAATTTCCGCAAACGCGTTGATAGCCGGCATGTGATCTCTTGGTGAGGGCGTCGTGACTGCTGCCTGCCCTGTCAAGGCGAGTAAACGCTGCGTGCAGAGCTTGCCCAAGATGCTCAAGCGGTACGATAGATTGGTTCACTAGAGCACTGCCTGACAGGCATGAGTTCTTTAGATATGGTCTGAAATTCAGATCAGAGCACGCATGCTGAAGCGGGTGGTAGATTACAGAGGTACCTGGTCCTGGGAGGACACAAGACACGGCTCCCGGAGAAAGGCAGCCTTGTTCCAAAGACGTTTGTACCAGATAGATGTCAAGTGTCTTTCTTCTGTTGAGGCAAGGGGCCTTAGGCATCGAACGTAGCAATACGGGAACAATGAAGACCTGATCACAAGGCAGGCAGCAGCAGTCTGCTGTATCGCGGGCTTTTGTTGTACGGCAGGCGAGGGCTGTATCGTGCCTCCCCGTGAGGAAGGGGTCTGAAAGCAAGCCCCCAAGTTTGAATACCTACCTACCTACCTACCTACCTAGGCATCTAGGTATCTACCTAGGTACCTTAGGTAAAGTACCATACTTTTCTTTGGAGAACGTACCTAGTTAGACATGTAGTATCTGACTAGGTAGGTCGGTAATGACTGCAACCATCTATCGAGACTGTTCAAAACAGCCAGCTAAGCTCACATCCAAGGAAGGTTCAACATCTCAAAAGACGTATCGACGCGTGTGGCCCTCTAAGTCAAACATGGTAGCAATACTAGATCATGCTCTGATCAATATTTAGTGCTACAATATTGTGCCGTAGCGGGCGACGATCTGATACATCTTCATGCTAAAGATTAGAAGCTTGCCTGGAACCTTGCCAGATTGCTGAGCAAACAAGGGACTGCTGATGAGATCGGATTGATCCATCGCGCCCTTTCGCTCGTACGATGCGCCCCTCGGCAACCGGACCTTCCCACGGGCCCCATTTGGTGCTTCGGCGCGGCCCACGGAGAGGAACACTTTGACCTTGTATCCACTTTGTCGGCGGCCCTTGAACCTGGGAGCGTTAACATGACGAATTCGGAGCTTGGGCACTCGGCACTCGGCACAAACAAAGAGAGACCACCAACTGAAGTGAGAACTAATTACTCCTAGCCGTGATGCCGAAAAAATTGGCATTCATGCCCTCTCAAAGTGGCCGGGACAGGTGCTGTGCTGACTGCCCTGCGCTAGTGTCACTGGCGACGCTGTTGGCTTGTTTCAGATCTTATGGTCCCGACGTGGTGTTTCCCTGGATCGACAGCTCTCAGCCCTACACCAACAGTGGGCGATACGTAACTCGTCAGTTTCTCCAGCAAGATTTCGGCTTCCCCCATGTTCTATCCTCCATGCACATCATCTTGTCAGGCAACCTTAAGAACGTTTCAAGGTTGGGACGACTCGGGTTCGCCACGTCAGCTGCTCTTCCAGAACCTCTGCCTGTGACCAGCATGACGGCCAGACATCGAACGCAGCAATTCCATTGGGAGAGGCCGGACGTGGGCGGCTCCGGCATGATCACACCAGCCCGATGAAAGCCCATCAAGCTGAAGGCTCGGGTGGTCGTGGATGTGCGTGGCATGACCAAGTCACGCTTCAAGTATATTGAACAGCCGGGACTGGGTTTCTGTGCGTCTGGGAGACGGCAAGTCGGACCTGCCGTGTTGATGACAGGGGACAGCCTTTCGCTTCTGTGCCAGAACTGACTCTCATGCCAGGCACGGTTCTGAGGATGATGTCCGGACTCAACCTTTCCGACGCCAATGAGGTGCACGAAGTCCCAAGCGCGAAACATCGTTATATCTCCCGCTTGATCTTTGTAGTCAGAATATACAGGATCCTGGTAGCAGTGTGATAGCGCAGACATTCAAGGCCTCAACGACAAGGACATTTAAACTCATGTGTCCATACGGTCCAGCCGGTTTGCGAGTTCGAGGATATCACACCAACACCTAACCGAAGCCTAAACTGCTGCCTGCACAGAAACAAAGAATGTATTCCATATCGTGCCTCTGCCTTCTGCTCGCTTTCGCGAACGCACAACAGAACCCGGAAGTTGTCCAGACAGACCTCATCCACTTCAAGTCGCAAGCGTCAGGCCCCTTTATCCCTCTTGTCCAGTTTTCGCTTGAGAACCAAACCATCAATGCTCTCTTCGACACGGGTAGCAGCGATATCATCGTTCCCCAGACGGGCAGTTCCATTTGCCAGAACCCTGCCCAGCAGTGCGACAACTCCTCGGCATCTGGCTTCGTCACGGGTGCCTTTGACACACCGGCTGGTCTCGCTCGCGTCAAGGGTCTAACATTGCAAGCCAGTTTTGTCAACGGCGCTGAGTTCAACGGTGACTTTGCGGCGCTCGATCTAGCGATGGACGGGCAGACCGTCACGGGCACGACGGTGGGCATCTTCATCAGCGGCTCGCTGCCGCCCGATGCGCCGCTGTTCCCCATCTTTGGCGTCGGGCCCGTCCAAGGCGAGGCCGTGGGCACTACGCAGCCTCAGCAGGGCAGGAAGCTCAGGCGCCAGGCGGGCAACTTTGCGAATCTATACCCAAACCTGCCTGCGCACATGAAGGAGATTGGTATGATCAAGTCGAACGCATTCAGCGTCTACACCAATGATGTTCGTAAGTATGGCCCATACCGTTCATGTCTGCCCGACAACGTCTGACGAGTAAAATCAGGAGCCAAGACGGGTTCCATCATCTACGGAGGCATCGACACTGCCAAGTTCGAGGGCCAGCTTCAGGAAGTGCCTCTAGAACGAACGAACGACGGCGCCCTGCCCTCCTTCGTGATCAACTTTAGCTCCGTGTCCATGGAGACGGGTATTAGCGGCGGCAACGGGGAAAAATCTTCATCGCCCATCAACAACGGCGCACCTCGGACAGCAGCAGCCACCACGGACCTCACACCCCGAGACGGCCTTCCCGTGGCCCTGATGGATACCGGGGCTCCCTCGATCCTCTTACCCGCCCCCTCAATGCAGATGCTCGCCACGGCGTTGGGCACGACCTTCTCGGAACAAGACGGCCTCGGGCTCATCGACTGCCAGAAGCTGACAGCCGACAGCGCCATGGTGTTTAGGTTCAATAATGATGCCATCGCGATCAGGGCGCCCATGGACATGCTCGTCGTGCCGCAGGAGCTCATCCAGGATGCGCGCCCGGGACAGTGCGTGCTGCCCGTGTTCCCGAGCCAGGACACGGCCGTCATGGGGCTGCCGATGCTGCAGTCTGCGTACGTGGTGTTTGACATGGACGGCGAGAAGCTTTTGATGGCGCAGGCCAAGTTCAATGTGACCGAGTCTAGCCTTCGGGAGTACCCATAGTCAGGCGCAATAGAGGGGGATTTGTCGTAATAGGCAGTATATATATGTTTCCTTAAAAATATCTAGATTTAGTCGTGTTGAGGCGGTTAAATAAACGGTTTCGGAATGGTGAATAAGTGACATAATGAGGATACAATATCACCTACCTTACCTTGCAGAGAAGGGGAAGAAGATGATGAAGAAGAAGGAGAAAGACGAGGCAAAAGGATTTCTCCTCGACGGGTATCCGTCTCGAACCCGGTGGTTCCTCTACGCGCCTTCCGTGGCCTGCGCGCCCTCACAGTTAGAGGCATGTGATATTGGGTATTTGCTTAGGGTGACCTCTAGGACCGCTACACCATGCGTCACGCTGTAGCGGCCCTTGTTGGAAATGGGGTGGCCTACGCGTGCTTATCAACCGATGGAAACTAGGAAGGAGCTGTGCCAGGCAGCCGTGGGAGGCACCTGGAGCTCGAGCGGTGGCGGTAAGGCAGGCACAGCGGCGTCGGCGTGCGGCCACCTGCCGTATACACGGGTCAGGGGTTGGCCACGATGTTCGGAAGCTTCCAGGCTGAAACCCTTCTTATGATGCGTCAAGGATCACAATGCCTGGCAGTAGAAGCAAGAGCTTAAGGATCTACTAAAACACAGGTGAAGATGCTCATATCAAGTGCTCAAGGGAGCGCCTTCAGCCCTTGACCAGGGATTCAATCAGACTCAGTCCTCGTCGGCCACCAAGTAGACATCTCAATCGCCATGGACAAGCATGTAAAAGGACAAACAAATCATTCTCATTCTTGATATCATCGTGGCCAGAGGCGTGTCCCCGTATGGCTGAAAACGCCTCCAACGCCGCCGGTAAGAAAACTAAAGGGGGTTGCCAGAATGTACATAACCCCTTTTCCCTATCCAGAGCCGCCGTGTATTTGTATTGTCCTCGAGTAGGGACCGACTGCAACCCCAGAAGCGTCATGAATGCGCGCTCGCTGCCGCGCGTGGCCGGGTCTAAAGATAAACGTTGAGAAGAAACGGGTAGGGCCCGGGCTGTTTCGATGAAGAAAGCTCGTATCGTGGTGAAGTGGTGGTCATGTCGATGTTTTGTAGGTTGAGATGGTACAGATGTGTAGTGTATCGCCGCTCATTTTGGCGCAGGTCGTCGGTCAAGTTAGAACACAGCGAAGGATGGCCTCTTCAGCCCGCCCCGGCTACATTCTCCTTGACGTTCAACGCCCACTTCAGCTTGGCTAGGACTTCCCGGGTCTCTTTCAGCATGGCTTCTTGCTCTGCTTCCCTGGCTACCGCATTGGTCTTGATGCTGTGCAGCGCCTCCTCCTGCTCGTCCTTGTACGCCAAAAACGTGGCTTCAATCTCGTCCCTCTGTCTCTTCAGCTCTCGTATGTTACCGTCTTGCTGGTCACAAAGGTCACGCAGTGTGGTGATCTTCTCATCGTCGCGCCGCCTCTCCTCGACAAGACCGGCAATCTCGCTTCTCAATTTCAAATGAGCCTTCTTGACTTCGTCACCTTGGTTGTTCCAGTGCGAAGCGATGGCGTTGTATCGCCCCTCCATCAGGGCGGCGTGCGCGCCGGCCTCATCAACCTGTCGAGTGCTCGTCAGGCGCATTTTCTCCATTTCATCTCGCCAGCCGCGCTCGCGTTCCAAGGCATCCACGGCTCGGCGTTTTTCCTGGTCGACGGTGGCGCTTAGACTTTCGACTTGCCGTTCCTTCCGGGCAAGCAACGTCTTGTTGACATTGGCCTCAAGCAAGCGACTCTCATAATCGCTAATGAGACGCTCCATCTTATCCTCCACAAGCTTGGCGGCCTGCTTGGCCTCTTCTGCACGAAGTTGTTCAATTTTGATGTCGCGCTTCAGGGAATCGTTATCGCTAACGAGCTTGTTGATGACGCGGCCGGTTTTGCCGAGGCCGGCCTTGCCAATGGTAGAGTCCCATCCAGCCTGTCCTGGAGGTCCCGGGCTCTCCATACCACCCACGGCAAGCTCATCGTCTGGAGAGTGGTCGTCTCGTCTTGGAGAGTCGTGCCGTTGCGGTGTGTCGTGCATAGTGTTGCTGTTGGCCCAGCCGCCGTTGCCTTGTTTTAGTTTGACGCTGGACACTCTGTCTTGACTAGAGGACATGCTGGCGGCACTGGCGTTGCTGTTGACAGAGCTAGAGAAGGCTGAGTTGCGAGGGCTGGATGTGGTACTGGAATCGCTGGGGTTTTCGAAGCTGGGCACCGTGCGAATGGTCTGTTGCATTCTCTGCGTATCTTCGTGCGAGGGTGATGTGTACTTGGATGGCAAAGGGCTGCGACGACTGATCATGCTGTTGGAGATGGGTGTTGGGATTGGTTCGGCGGCGGCACCAGAGGAGGAGGGTGCCGACCGATCTGATTGTGACGATAATCGGAAGTCTAGGGGGTGCGAATGTCAGCTGACGTTGTGGTGTAGAGCATAGACGGCAGCATGCAGAAATAAAGGACAGAGGAGGCTCGAAAGGAACGAAACGATGGCTGGAGGCTGCGAGAAGAGCTTCGGAACAGGTCGTAGCAAGGCGTTCTTACAATCTTTGTGTTTAGGAGTGAGGTCGGACTGGTCGAGAGACTTTGTGGAACATCGGGGTTTCTGGTATTTTTGCAAAAGACTAGGCATGTCTATCGCTCATTGTTTGATCAAAAGGGGGACTGGCGATGCTCTTTTTTGAGGTACCCAAGTCGTGTCGGAAAGCGAGCGCTGTTGCACAGGTAATGCGATATGATGCAAGGTTGAAGAAAGTCGGTCAGTTCTACAGTAGCAGTAAGGGGGGTTATCGAGTCGTGAAGAGCAATTGCTGGGCCTGGGCTGAGAGGGATTAGCGTTGAATGGGAGAAAAGGCGATGAGTGAATCAGAGCGGATGAAAGATAGCAGATCGGGATGTTGTCGAGCAGGGGCGGCAGATGGGGAAGGGCTATATTTACCTGCTTTGATGTGTACATGCGCAACCCGTGCATGCCTTTACGATTTTTTTGCTTCCCTCCTGTCGCTGTTGACGTTGGTGTGGTGGTATTGCATTGAGTTGGACGCATCCAGTAAGCCAAGCACGATGAGTGATGGGGCTGATGGACGGGACTGTGCCTGCTGGTTCGGTTTTCGACCAGGCGGACCAGGATTTGCAGACCAGCATCCAGGGACCAGCTCCCGGTCATTGGGTGGTTGGCCCCTTCCCGCTGTCTCCCTCCAGGGCATACTCTCCACTAACAATGCTGGCCCCCCCACTTCTCACCACTGAGAGGAAGCTAGGCACAGTGCCAGGGCGTTCCCCAGCAACGAAGATCGCTGCGTCACCGCCCCTCCCAGGCCCCCAAGCCCCCCTGTCGCCTGTCGCCTGCCGCCTGGGCTGTGGTGCTCTATCGCCTGCCGGCCGGTGGTCGCTCTTGCCAACCTCCCGTCGTCTTCTCAACGCCCATCCATCCAGTGACATTGGGCAGCGCAGGGAATCCGCCGATCGAACTCTGATGCACGGTCCCAGCATCCGACCACCCTCCATTACCCTCCATCGCCTGTACAAACACGGACAGGATCATGGACACCAGCTCCTTTTGGTATCAATTGGGGACACCAAACAGTCAGATGTGCCACGATCGACCTCTTCCCCAGATCCCCTTGAGCTAGTCCCGTTCATTCTGGCTGTCAGTGTGCCATACCAAGACGATAGTGCATAGTCCATTGCAGCCAAAGCACGCCCCCCCATTGTCGAGTCATTCTCCGCCCACAGCTGGGAAAAAGCATGCATAAACACCCACAGCACCGTCCGTTTGAGAATCTCACAGCTCAGCTCGCCCACGCCTCTTTAGGCCGGGAACATCCTCGACCCTTTTTCGGGAAGATCTGGCGTCTGCGCAGCCATATCTTCCGACTGGTCCGCCTTTTTGTCCTGTCCAATCTCCTCCACAGTCAAACCCTTGAGGCCTTGCGGCAACGGTCGCTCTAATCGAGACTGGAGCAAACGAATCTCATGTGTAAAATCTCAACCAGCATGCTGCAAAGGCCCCCTATCATAACAAGTCGGGTATGCATCCCTTATTTTTCTAGAGTGTGGCGAGATGTGAGCCCGGCGGGGCATAAGCTCGCCCCTATTGCCTGCCACCCTGCAATATCGTGTCACGTTTCAAGCAGCACCTCAACCAAATTGGGCAGGCCAAGCAGGTGAGACAGTATCAGCTTCTTGTCGTATGGTATTGCAACGCCCATTCAGTGAGCGCAACTGAAGACTTCTTCAGACAGTGGCGTAATTCTGGCTTTGTGTCGGACTTGTTTGACCATCTCTGTGCAATACGCTCGATCTTGCATCGACAGCAGCAAAACTCTGAATCAACATGAGGTCTTTCGGAGGAGATGTTTTAGGGGTATTGCTCTAGAGGATGGCACGAAACCTCTCGATGACAACGCGGAAATGGTCCTGAGCAGACTTGTCATCGAGATATTGCCGATTTACCGTGCCTCTCGACATGAGTATCATGACAACTTCAAGTGCTCAATGGACCTGAAGTATGTTCAGGGAACGCGCCTGCTATGGTCTCAACAGTGATGTCGTAGCAAACATCATTCGGAGGTCGTGAAGCAAGGCATGCTTGGACTTCAAGGCTGCATTCCGACTTCGCAGATATTTCAAGGAACTATACCGATGGGAGCCGCGTGAAGCTTGACATGACTCAAGGGGGAGATGGGGCGTCTTCAGCTTCGAATGGGGACTTCTGGAGACGACTTCAAATCCAGCCCCACAAGAGAGAATCGATGCAGGTGGCTCTCTTGCCATCCTTGGAGCTTCATACGAAGGTAAGAGGTTTCCATCTTGTGCACAGGTGGAAGAGCCTTTGAAGCATTCATCTCTGCTTACTAGGACTCACGTGCCGAGCAGAGCATTCTTGGGCCCTGTGATGCGCAAAGAAGGTATCTGACACTGGAGACGCTTGAATATGTCAACAAGAGATGCCCATAGCCATCAAGCAAGCAGCCATGGCATCTGAACTGCTAGGTGGACCGAAAGAGGCTGACCATTGCCCTGTCATCGCTTCCATGCGGCAATGGAAGGACACGCCTTGACTTTGTGACCCCGCCATCCGGTGGTGCCTTCAGCATGCAGTCCGGATTCGGAGCTAGGAAAATTTCTGTGGGACCACCCCGCGAGTAAGGAATGGGCCATTACTCTGAAGACTGGGACGTAGGTGCAGCAATTGAATCATTCTTGAGTGCCCCTCATTGCCGATGACCGTCCAAACTTCCAACCTCGAGACTCCCCCACATCACACTTCTGTGACTCAAACTTTTGACATTGTGACTCCGATACAACCCACGACGAGCTGCGCATCGAGTTCATATTTATTCCTTCTCCTCCTCCTCACACACGAAGGAAGAAGGTTCTTGTGTCACCATCGCGACAGTCTCACACTGCTCGCTTCTTCACACGCGAAAACCGCCCCGCACCAACCGAACGGTTCCCAAACATCGGCCGACGTTCCACCTCCAAAATGACGATGTAAGTTCCTCGACCTGCCAATCAACGGTTCACTCCATGCAATAGAAAATCATTGTCGAGCCGGACTGACATTCTGAACCCTCCTCACAAGGCTCAAGGAACCCATCAAGAAGTACAAGCCCTTCAAGGTATGCCGAACTAAACCTTACGTTCTCCCAACCTGGACCGCAACTGACTTGAAGCAGCCGCCTCGCCTGCAGAACCGGCAATGGCCTGACAAGGTCATCGAGAAGGCCCCCCGATGGCTCTCGTACGCCAGATACTTACCCTCCCAGTAGTAGAAAACTTACTTACCTCCTCGCAGTTCTTGCCTTCGCGATGGCAACCAGAGTCTGCCCGATCCCATGGTGCGTTGCCACATTCTCGCGCGCACCCACTCTTCCTGCCGTCTGACACTGATTCGTTGCAAATAGAGTGGCGATGAGAAGTGGCGTTACTTCAAGATGCTCTGCGATCTCGGCTACAAGGAAATTGAAGTCTCATTTCCGTCTGCGTCACAAACCGACTTCGACTTCACCCGCCGCCTCATCGAAACCCCAGGCGTCGTGCCCGACGATGTGTTCCTCCAGGTCCTGTCGCCCTGCCGTCCCGATCTCATCCGCAAGACCGTCGAGTCCGTCCGCGGAGCCAAGAACGCCATTATCCACATCTATCTCGCGACAAGCGCATGCTTCCGACAAGTCGTTTTTGGCTATACTGAGGAACAGACTCTGGAACTTGCTGTCGAGTGCGCGAAGCTCGTCAGGTCTCTGACCAAAGACAACCCTGAGGCTTCCGGAACGAATTGGCAGTTTGAGTTCTCGCCTGAGTGCTTCTCCGACACGGACCCCGAATACGCTGTGAGGGTATGCCGCGCTGTGAAGGCTGCGTGGGGCCCCGACGGATCAAAGGGCGATCAGATCATTCTCAACCTGCCCGCTACGGTCGAACTCGCGACACCTAACATTTATGCGGATTTGATTGAGACTTTCTGCAACAACATTGGTGACAGGGAGGACGTGTGCATTTCTCTGGTATGGCGTCATCTTTTTCCTAACTTATTGACGAAGTTGACTGACAATGCTCGACAGCACCCTCACAACGACCGCGGATGCAGTTAGTACAACCCGACATGCTGAATACTCTTGGCGCCGCTAACAAAGAACAGGCGTTGCAGCGGCCGAGTTGGGCCAGATGGCTGGAGCTGACCGTGTAGAAGGCTGCTTGTTCGGGTTCGTCCCTTTCCTGACTCCTTATATCTGACGAAGTACTGAACAATCAACAGCAACGGCGAGAGGACGGGCAACGTCGATCTCGTCACCCTCGCGCTGAACCTCTACACCCAGGGTGTCAGCCCACAGATCGACTTTTCCGACCTGAACTCAGTCATTGACATGGTTGAATCCTGCACCAAGATCCCCGTCCACCAGCGTGCTCCTTATGGCGGCAGTCTCGTCTGTGCCGCTTTCTCCGGCAGCCATCAAGATGCGATCAAGAAGGGATTCCAAATCCGCCAGCGCGACGGCCTTTCAGTCGAAGACCCATGGAACGGCATGCCCTACCTGCCCCTGGACCCTCAAGATATTGGTCGCAACTACGAGGCCATTATTCGTGTCAACTCGCAGTCTGGAAAGGGCGGTACCGCCTTCATCCTGCAGGCCAAGCTGCAGCTCGATCTCCCCCGTGGCCTTCAGGTGGCGTTCTCCAGAGTTGTTCAGAACCGCACCGAGGAACTTGGACGCGAGCTCCTGGCCAACGAAATCACCACCCTCTTTGAGTCCACGTACTTCCTCAACGACAACCCCCACTTCAGCCTGGTCGACTACAGCATCAGCCCAGATCGCTCGCAATCACCCGCGCCCGCGCCCCCCGGCAAGACTCAGGACACGAAGAGCTTGAGACGTATCTTCGAGGGCGTGATTGTTATGAACGGCGAGGAGATCAAGCTGCGCGGTCGCGGCAACGGTCCCATCTCGAGCATGGTCGCCGCTCTGCGAGCTGTGAACATTGACTTTGACGTCAACGACTACAAGGAGCACGCTATTGGCGAGGGCCGTGGTGTCAAGGCCGCCTCCTACGTTGAGGTCAAGCCCACGGGCAGCAAGCAGACGGTCTGGGGTGTTGGTGTCCACGAGGATGTCGTACAGAGTTCGCTCCTGGCCGTGCTGAGCGCGGCGAGCTCCGTAAGCCCCCTCCCTCGCCCTACAGAGCAAGAGTGAACAGTGATCGGCGGACTTTGAATTTGCTAACACTGCTGGACAGTTCATTGCGAGCCGACCTACCAGCCCTACCCTGAACCCCGTGGCGGTTCCCGTCCCTCAGGCGACGCCAAATCTCATCTCCGTCTTGGAGGAAAAGGCGAATGGCATGTAAAAAGAGATGAATGCAAGGTGGGACAAAAAAAATGTAATGGTAGATGATGACCATATGTGTCGGCTGGGATAAAAGTTGAAGATGCTTCACCAGAGTTTTCTTCTTGAAGCGCGTCGTTGATTCGTGGTAAATAAAATCTTTTTGAATAACCGACGCGGTATCCTTTCAATCACAGTGACTTATGGCTACTCTATTCAGCTCCATTTTGAGACCGTGCGGCCGAAGTTATGCTTCCATTTTGACCACGATCTTCAGGCTTGATTTAACACATATCCTTGGGCAGTGACACGACTTGCACGCTGCTTGTGAGAGTGAATACTGGCGAAATGCAGCAGAATTTACATGTCCAACTGGACGCGGACATGTCGGTGGTTAGGTATAGTTCACATGATAGTTTCGACCCCATCAACACCTGCTCCAGTTAGATGAGAAAGGGCGCGAGGAACCGGATACCTGGTGTTACAGAAACATGATACAGTGACCGCGGTGAATACCTGCCGCCCCGCCTCCGACCAGCGACCGCACAACGAGATTTGTATATCTGTTGCCAGTATCTCCCTCCTTGCCACAAGAGGCAACATTCACTAAAACGCCAAAAGCCAATTGCGTGCTCATGCTTGTCCTCGACTTTTCCTCCCCGGGGTATTGTTGTTTTCGGATCACGCGAGTGATCATGCCCTAACCCCTTCTTGTCGAGGCGACCCAGGGCGAGGGGGAACCCGCCGACACCTGAATGTATCCATTCGACCCGTGCCAGAGCTTGCATGATCTTCGTATCAATGCATGAGAAACCCAATCATTCGTCGTTGCTCGCCGTCACTACGTGGCAACGGCCGCCACCGGGGTCGGCACAGGCGCGCTAGCCTCTTCCGCGTCACGAGTGGCCGACTCCACGAAGGCCGGCCTGAACTTGTTCAAATACTTGCTCGCCAGCGGGCGTGCCTCCTCGTCTAGAAACAGGGTCAGCGTTGTGGTCATTGCTGGAACAAACAAGACGATGAAAAGAAAATCGGGTGGCCAAACTTACACTCGACCCAGATGTCTTGCACAGTGTCCAATGCCATTTCCTTCGCCGGCGGCCGCATCATGACCACGTAGAGCAGACTCGTCAGCACCAGCGGCACGACGGAGGGGTCACGGCAGATGAGCTTTATGCGCGCAAGGATCGTGGGCGACAGGTCCGGGACCTCGCCCAGGAAGCGCGTCAGCACCTTATCCTGGGCGTGCAGGTACTGCGAGAAGCCGTCGATGAGCTTGACTGCCCATGTCTCGTATTGGCGGGGCGCGCCGTCGCCCTCCGTTTTCTGGCGCAGCCGGTCGTTGTACCACTCCTCCGTGAGCCACGTGATGGCAACGTCAATGCGACGACGGAAGTCTTCGAGGACGTAGGAGTAAAGGGATTCCCGGATGCTGTTGTTGAGCGTCGGCGCCGACTTTACCTCTTCTTTCACGGCATGATCCGGCTCTGTTGCTGACCTGCTGGCCAGACGGGTGATGATGGCGATCCAGGATTCTCTGTCGTTGCTGCTGGCTGCAAGGCGGTTGACGCCAGATCGAACCCGCTTGTTCGCTTCTTCGAGGGATTTGACAAACTCGAGTATCGACAGGACGGAGACTTGGCCGCCTCTCAGGGCCAGTTCTGGTGTCAGAGGTGGTGGTGGTGGAAGCTTGAAGGCCTTTAGGCCAATATCTGTGTTGTCAACCTTCACCAGCGGCTCACTGTCCAGCTTGTTCAGAATCTGCTCTGTGTCCTCCGCTGGATAATCATCCGGCTCGTATTCATCGTCGTCATCGTCGACACCGAGCGGCGCCGTCTCTGGATTAATCTGAGGCACCGGCATGGCCGCCAGCGCGGCAAGTCGCCCTTTGATTCCATCAACCGCTTTGTAGAGCAATTGGGGATCTATCCTGGACAGGGTCGACACATTGATCCGGGCGACCAGCTCTGCCGGCACCGTTGAGATGTCGAAAGCCTTCAATCCTTCACTGCCTGTAAGTGTGTAGACATCGGCGAGGCTATGTTGGCCAGGAGCTAGGGGTGTGACCTCCAGCTGTTGTGGCGCTGGCGCAAGAGTCCGTTGTCGTTTAAGATCTGCGCCCTCCGGCATTACCTCCAGGCCACGCTTCCGACTTGACTCATCAAGGATCTCGGAACGCATGCGCATCATGCCCTCGACATGTTGCTGGATCCGAGGGACAATCGGGTTGTGAGGGTCGCTAGGTAGCACATGTCAGTCCGACATCTCGAGTCATCAGCACAGTTGTTACAATACCGTTTCGCAATATGCATCAGTAGCATCCTTGTGGTTTTCTCCATGGACTTCACTAGCACACGTATCCGGGGTGTCATGGGCGAGTTGGCAAGCTTCAAAGGGTTGAATTGGAGCACAGCGGCCAGAATTCTGTTCGCTGTGGTAGGGCGCGTGCGTACAAGGATGGACAGACAGTTCAGAGTAGCATCAACGAGAAGAGCATCGCTAATGTTTGGGGCATCATGTCAGTAGCGTTGAGGTTGGAGCACGGAAGCTCTTCTCCTTACCTGGCCTGGTCTTGAAGTCCACCCAATATCCTGTCAAGCAACCCAGCTGCCTCCGCCTCTAGTGTCTGGTGATCAAGGGTCTGATGATTCCTTGGCACCTTATCCAGAGAAACATCGAGAGAATCACCGCGCTGTGAGGTTGGTTAGTACGACGACCAATTGGCTGGAAGAACGAGCACGACCGTACCCGAGGTTCTTGGGGGTTTGCGACTGACTGCGCCAGCACAACCCGTTGCGCAAATTTCATGCAGCATATCCGCAGAGAAGGCTCAGCATTCTCCCAGATACGCAGTATACGAGTCTTGATCTTAACCATGCGCTCCCATGTCATGTTATCGTAGGAATTGTTGATGCTGTCCACCAGTCAGTTTGCGTCTCTTTCGTGCCTTCGACTCCTCGTCGGCGCACTCACATCCACCGCAAGGCGATCGGGTAAATGCTTGCAGAAGCTTGAATTGCGCTGCGCAACACCTGCAGATCTTCGTTTGGGTCTTCCAGCAGGTCTTTCAATGTTTCGAGAACAAAGAGCTGCATGGTCTCCTTTTCGCTCAAGGGCAGTGCTGGTGTCGCAAATGCTTCGGCAAGAAACTCTGCGCCCCATCTTCGCAATTCGAGGTGGGCGGATGGTACAACAATTTGCAAGATGCTCTTGACCACATTCGAGTAGTATTTAACATCGCTTAGAACAAGCTTCCGCGCATCGTTCAGTTGCCGGATCTGGTCGCTGACGGATAGTTGAGGGGACGCCATGATGTTGAGAGGCTGCAGGCTCGTAGCTCTGCGTTTGTATGTGAAGTATTGAGTGCGAATCGATTCTCCGAAGTGTACAGGCGGCGTCGGCTAGGGTTCATCGGCTACGAGCTGTCGCGACCTGTGGAAATTCCCAAGCTCTGTCCGAGCCGCATCCCGCCCGAGTATTGCAGGCGCTCAAAGGTTCGTGTGTCTGATGATCGTGGTGAGGGCGTTTTCGTGTTGCTGAGAGGGGGGGGGCAGGCTGCGTAACAGAAACTCTACTGCACGACAAGGCAGGCAGGATATGTTTGGTTCGAGAGTGAGGTTCCACGGTCTCGGTCTGGACGCGCGAAGCTTGGATTGCGTAGGTGGTCTGTGCACCCCACGCAGAAGCTCCTGTGTGATCCCTGTTCAATCTTGCACTATCGGTTCTGCCGTGCTTTTCCCGGAGTCTTATCGCTTTCATTGTTCGACTTCGGTCCAGCAACTTTTGCGACACGAACATCCCGAAGGTCATCGAACGACGATTGAACAACGACACAACGTCACAAGCCGCGAACTCACGGCTCACCAAGTAACGAAGTCTTTGACATCTCACGGCTTGTTCTCAGAAGCAACAACTAAACAACACAATGGCGGGGTACGTGTTCAACTTGACAGATGAACAGCCAATTGGTCGAATAGTGGCCTGACGAAGGACAGAACTCAAAGATCATCATACTACGACCGCCACCTCAGGCAAGGCCCGGCTCTGATTCGGGCGAGGAAGCCGTACATAGTCAAGAACGCTGTTCTCGGCCTGGGATTGTGGACCATTGTTGGGGGTGTCTGTAAGCTGCCCAGCCAAGCTCCCTTACCATGGTCATCTTACTGACCCTGAACGCAAGACTGGTACACATTGAAGGCTGTTGGCCAAGACGATTTCGAAGATGTCAAGGTTCCTGATGCGCCCAGAGAACCCCAACAAGCGAAATAAATCGAGAATATTGTGACGCGCACTGGGTGGACCAAATGAAGGGTGGTGTGTAAGGCTAAGCCTAAGGGACAGCAGGCATGGGCAATTTATCCATGGTTGCTCTGTAAGATTGTATTGGAGTTGGTTGTTACATCGATGCCGCACATGCTCTCAGGAGACATGGCGGAAGAAGGCCCGAGGATGCCTTTTAGATATCCCCCCACTGAATGAAGACATGTACAATTCTGTTCTGTGGTAGGCATGGTTATGTTTATTTGTCGATCCAGGACACATGCTACTTTGACGTTTTTTGACTGGACCTGGCCATTTCTCCCCCATGTGGTAGATGGTTTAAAGTTTTCTGCAAGGGAGTCGGCCGACCTGCTTGTCGCAGAATCAAGGAGCCGCATGTACTGCAACAGACTTAGTAACATGGATACCCTGAACTTATCATTACTGCACTGACAACCTCGGCAACGAAGACAAAGTTTAGCTTGGTCGAACGAAGTGAATTATGCAGATGATCCTGCATTGCAACATGATGAACCTCGTAGACTCGATATTGAGGTTCACCAGTTTGCTCACGGTGGAGTACTGATCGGCCGTCTGCACCATATCTGGGTACCTCTACGAAGGGATGTAGGGCCCAACAACGCATGAAGAGCAAAGAGGGGTTACCCCCCTTCAAAATGCCAGCTAGCTAGCTGGTCGCACCCACCCACCCGAACCTCACTCCGCGTACATTACATTAAGGAACACCTCTGCAACGTTGAAATTCCTCTCGACGTGGTAGCTGTCAAACGAGGAGATGCCTCCCATCTGACAGGGTCTCGTAGAGACAGGACAAGCAGTGTCCTAGACATTCATCACCAACCACTGCTGCCACGGAAAGCTGACGGTGTCCAATCATGGCCGCTTCTGAGCCACTGCTGTCCCTATTCGATACCCCACTTCCCTTGTGGCTCAGCACGGACCATCTGGCGGTGAGAAGCAGAAGCTCGCTCATTGGCCTGTGAGACGGCAAGGCCCAGAAATCCACCAGGGTCCAGCACCTGAGGACCTGGCGCTAACCCGCGATGTGCATCTCCCAGCGCCTTCCCCCTATCGCGCCACCCGATAGTTGACGTGCCCCGCCTTGAAGCCCACAATTGAACACCCGGTCCCTTTACTCTGTACCCAGGCCCGCCAAACCTCACCACAACTGGGAAAACCACCTCCTTCTCCTCCTTGCCTTCCTTGGACCTCTGGACCACACCAGCGCTGCGCGCGTGAAAGCTGCTCTCTTCTCCGCTGCAGTCTCCGTCTTAGCCTCTTCTCCGACAACATCATTCATCATGAAGGGCGAGGTATGTTGAAGCTTTCCCTGTTCCTGAAGCTCCCATGCCAGATGAAGCTATCGCGGGCCGTCCCATTCCTCAGGGCCGGACCCCTGAAAACGAGTGGAAATGGAACTCTGCACTTCGGCTGGCTGAATCCGCCATCAACCATTTTTGTTTGGCCTTGATTCAAGCATGCTTACAAGTTGGTCCCTTTTTAGATTCTTCACCTCCACCTTGGCCAGGCCGGTGTCCAGCTGGGTAACTCTGCTTGGGAACTGTATGTCCACTCGACCCGAAACTTCTCACCATGCTGCTGCTCGGAGGCTGACCTCTAGCTAGCTACCTGCTCGAGCACGGCCTCGGCGCTGATGGTCGTCCCGACCCCAACGGCCCTGAGATCGGCGACCCTGGCTCTTTCGAGACCTTCTTCTCCGAAACCAGCGGTGGCAAGCATGTTCCTCGCTCCATCTTCGTCGACCTGGACCCCTCGCCCATTGACGAGATCCGTACCGGCGCCTACCGTCAGCTGTTCCACCCCGAGCTGTTGATCAGCGGCAAGGAGGATGCCGCCAACAACTACGCCCGTGGCCACTACACCATTGGCAAGGAGATGGTCGATAATGTCATTGACCGCATCCGCCGTGTTGCCGGTAAGAGCCATCGGCAGTGATACATCTGTAAGACGGTATGCTAACGATGCCGCCCAGACAACTGCCACTCCCTCCAGGGCTTCCTGATCTTCCACTCCTTCGGTGGTGGTACCGGTTCCGGTTTCGGTGCCCTCCTTCTCGAGCGTCTTTCTACCGAGTACGGCAAGAAGTCCAAGCTTGAGTTCGCCGTCTACCCCGCTCCTCGTGTCTCGACGGCCGTTGTCGAGCCTTACAACGCTGTCCTGTCCACCCACAGCACCATCGAGAACTCCGACTGTACGTTCCTCGTCGACAACGAGGCTGTCTACGACATCTGCCGCCGCAACCTAGACATCCCCCGTCCCTCATACGAGCACCTCAACCGTCTGATCGCTCAGGTCGTCTCTTCCATCACCTCGTCTCTCCGATTCGACGGTGCCCTGAACGTCGACCTCAACGAGTTCCAGACCAACCTGGTGCCCTACCCTCGTATCCACTACCCCCTGATCAGCTACGCTCCCGTTGTGTCTGCTTCGAACAGCCAGCACGAGAGCTTCAAGGTTCAGGAGTTGACCTTCCAGTGTAAGTCAATGACGGTCTGTCGTGGTTGAGGATGGTAATGCTGATGACAAAATAAAAACAGGCTTCGAGCCCAACAACCAGATGGTCGTCTGCGATCCCCGCAACGGCAAGTACATGGCTGTGGCTCTGCTGTATCGTGGCGACGCCGTCCCTCGCGACTGCAACGCTGCCATTGCCGCGCTCAAGGCCAAGTCCTCCTTCAACCTGGTCGAATGGTGCCCCACGGGCTTCAAGCTCGGAATCAACTACCAGAAGCCTGTTGCCGTCCCCGCCGCCCCAGGCGATGGCGGTCTCGCCTCTGTCGACCGTTCCGTCTCCATGTTGTCCAACACCACCGCGATTGCTGAGGCTTGGTCGAGGCTGGACCACAAGTTTGACCTCATGTACAGCAAGCGTGCTTTCGTGCACTGGTACGTTGGTGAGGGCATGGAGGAGGGTGAGTTCAGCGAGGCCCGTGAGGATCTTGCTGCGCTCGAGAAGGATTACGAGGAGGTTGCCGCCGATTCGTTCGAGCCTGATGAGGGTGACGCTGAGTACTAAGAGGTGAAAGACGACCCCGGAGAGTTGCCTTCCTCGCGTTTGCGTTTTGCTCTACACACTTGGAAGGGGGTCGGGACTGCGGCTGGGGGTGGATCATGCTTCTGCAGAACAAAAGTCTGCATTGCTTCCTGCCTTCTCTTGCATCCTGATAGCCTGTCGAGGTGGTGGTCTGGTAGATTTCTTTGTTCTCCTCGTCCCCTCGTCGAACGACACGACGCTAGGCCTAGGATTGATTACCCCTTCTGAAACCCATTACCCAACGAATGGATCTTTTGTTTTCTGGAGTCTCTGTGATTTTAATAGATGAGGACCAGGCTAGCGTTGTGGGGTCTTTCGTTGCTTGTTTATCACGACTGCGGAGATGTGATTTAGCTGGTGCTTGGTCGAGGTAGCTCGCAAGGCAGTTGAATTGCTTGGTGGAACAGGAAGAGCCCAAGAACCTCTGTCGAGTCAGTCGGTGTGAAGTTAGAGATTTCTTCTTGACGTTGGTTCGAGCACATGAAACAGCGTCGTGGATTCAACTCAACGACATGAGACGAATTGATGAACCAGTCGATGGAAGGGAAAATGCGGAAGCATCGGGAAGAGACCAGATTAATCACCTTCGAAGCCGAACACATGCATAATAAGTCGAGCCATGAAAAGCCATGATATCTCTATTTTCGTACGCCAACCCCCGGTCCATGTAACACAACACACAAGTGGTATCACAACAGCTACCTTGGTCCCCGTCCCCCTCAATCCTTACTCGTCTTGCCACCCTCCTTTCGCCATGCCGCGGCCCTCACGGCTCCACGGCCCTTCTTCTCCACCCGTCCCTTGTTGACCCTGCCTTTCTTCTTGCCGATCCTCACGTCGCTCGGCCGCCCGTCATTGGCGCTCGCGCGCTTGCCCTCAAAGATGATCTCCTCGGGTGTCTTGAGGACGAGCCCTGACCCGCTGGCCTGCTCCTTGCCGTCGCCGCTACCACCGCGGCCCTGCTTCTTCTTCTTGTGGTCGTACAGGGCGCCCGAGCGACCGAGCAGCTTCGAGGCGCGGCCGGCCATGGAGAGCTCCTCGTTGGTGGCCTTTTGCTTGTACTTTGTCGACTTCTTGTCCGTGGCCTTGTCGCCGGCCGTCTTGGCGCGGGAGCGCTCCTGTGCGAGGGCCGTCTTGTGCGGGGCCTTGGCACGGGTGACGCGGAGGGTGCGCGGGAGCATGGGGGGAAACTTCTTCTCGTTGAGGAGCAGGGCGGCCTCGACGTCGTTGGCGTCCTATTTGGATGTCAGTGGCTGCTCATGAAACCTGTAGAGAGGGAGAATATGGGTGGATGGGGGAGGACGGACGTGAAACTGAACGTAGGCGAAGCCCTTGCCGACGCGGGTCTTGGGATCACGGATGACGCGGACACTCTCGACCTTGCCGTCTTCCTTGCCAAAGACGCGCCAGAGGCCCTCCTCAATATCGGAAGGGACCTTGTTGCGCTTGCGCTCCTTAGTCTCGCCGCTGGCGTCCGTGTTGAGGACCGTCTCGTCGTCGACGAATCCGAGGTTGCCGACGAAGACGCAGCGACGGTGGTCTGTGGGCGCAGGGTGGGCGACGCTGTCGACGCGGATGTGGCGATCGAGGACGACGGAGCCGTTGAGCGTAGTGCAGGCCTTGCGCGCCGCGGCCGGGGTTGAGTAAACGACATAGGCGTTAGCGGACTTCGTCGTGGCTTCCATGAGCGAGTGCGTGATGTAGGCGGCGCGCTTGGGCATGGAGCCGGCCGAGAAGGCGAGCGAGCGGAACCGGATCGACTCAATCTTCTCGCCCTTTTCCAGGACGGTCGAGAGATGCGTCATGAGCGTCTTCTTCGCTGCCTTTGTGGTGCTCGCTTCGGCGGCAACATTGGCAAGGAAGACTGTGCGGCTGGCTTTCTCGACATCCGTGTCCTTGGTGCTGGCATCATTCTTGTCCTTTGCGACGAGAGATTCGTGGACGGGGAGGACTTCCTTCTCCACGTCATCGTCCGAGGTTGTGTCATCTGCCTGCTCGGCCTTGGGGGCCTCCGACTTGTTCTTCTGACGCTTGAGCTGGGCCTCTTCCTTCTCTTCTTCCAGTGCGAGTTTGTTCAGGTATTTGCCCTCGAGGTCGTCTTCGTCGCGCTTGCGCTTGCGCTCCTTGGGCTTCCGGGGGGGTTCCAGCAGGCGCTCCACTGCCTCCTCCACATCCTCTTCCTCGGAAGCCTCGCCTTCAGCATCGTCTGAGAGCTCAGAGAGGTCGGCATCAGCATCCACCATGTCCTCATCATCGTCGTCGTCACCAGCTTCCTCCTCCTCGTCGGACTCTTCGGCAGCCTTTTTGGGCCTAGGCGGTGGTGCCTCGGCATATTTAGCCCTTGGGTGAGGTTTGGCAGGTCCAGCCTGGAGATTGTCAGTCAAGTTACGTCTCTCCGTTGATCGTACAGAGCAATTATCGGCTTACGCTCGAGGAGAAAAGAGCATCGAGGGTGGGGTCCACGGCTTTGGACGAGGCCGTCAACTTGGAGGTTCTGTTACAAAATTAGTACACATTTTGTTATCTGATCCAATTTCAAAAGGCAACCTACTTTTTTGACATGGTGTATGACAATCGGTGGTTTGCGACGGACTGATGGGATCCTGGCCGTTTCGTCAAGTCGCACCCCGAAGAAAAATGTCGAGCTCTAGGCCTCTTCGCAGACACTGACGGTCAACTTTACAGCGGGGCACATCCCCAATCTGGCGCTGCTAATCGATTGGTCGAGTTTTGCCGCGCCGAACCCGCAAGGGGACCCACTTCAGGGCGCCTCTCACCGCCTCGGCTCCCAACCAGTGAACGGGTTTTGTTCTGCCGACCGAAGTGATGCTGGTGCTCGGTGCTGGTGCAGGTGCGCAAGAGGAGCGAGAAGAGAGGAGCAGAGGCACGAGGTAGATGAGCGCATCTGATGGAGTGGCAGGTTCACTAATGCTTCTTCCGGTTTCCCACTACAACACCACAACGCCCACCCAACAAGCTCTGATTTCCCTACCAACAGGAAGCGAAACACCTCATTCCCAATTTTATTCCTTTGACTCTGGCAATTTATTCTCGCAGCACCTCCTGCCGACACCCTTCGCGGCCGCTGCAGCTCCGCCCCTCCAACCTCTTCCCGACCCGACCTCCTCGCGCGAAAACCTCTCCCACCCAAGCCCCAACAAGCTTGCCCCAACGCGAACATAATACATCCGTGTTTGCGACTGTGATCACATAGGAAAGAAGCGATGGCGGCCGCTGGGGCGATCCCCCCTGCGCTCTCGCCAGAGCAGCCGACCCTTGACCACGACGACAGCAACATCTCCAGTCCGTTGAGCGACGTCGAGGACGGAGACGGCGACGAAGGCTCTCTCGATGTCATGAACATACATCACGATACGCCTCGCCAGCACGACGACGACGAGGGCGATGTGTCCGAGTCCGACAGCAATCTCTCCGACGCCAACGACACCGAGGCCGAGACGGAGCGTCTCTTCGACACACCGCAAGCCCAGCGACACCGAGACGTCGTCGTCAATGCATTCAATGACGGTCAGATCTTTGAGCACACCCCAAGTAAGCTCCAGAAAACATTTTCCGTCGACGACGAGGCCGACAATAGCGATAATGAGTCGCTGTCCGACAACGACGACGTGTCCCTGGCATCGAGCCCCGGCGACGGATCCCCTTCCCCGACCAAACCTGCCAAGCCCGCCGTCACGTCGTTGGCAAGCCCTGTTCGAGAATCATCGGAGACGAAGAAGCGAAAACGGTCACTTCCCGTCGATCAATCCGACTCTGACCAACCTTTGAGAAAGCGCACGGGCTCGTTCGCCGCGCCAGACTTGGGCGATGCTGCGCGCCGCGAAGATGATGAGGATGATCCTCTGTCGACGCACCCCAACAGCGGGAACCAATCTGCCGACGAGGAAATTCCAGTCCTGACCACCGAAGCCAAGACTGAGCCGTCTCGAGACAGCGCCAGCCCAGTCAAAGCGTCCAGCGTCACGCGGAAGCTCACGAGGAATGGCAGCAAACACAAGACCGAGGACGGCGACGATGACAAGATCAATGACGCCGATATTCACGAAGAAGGCACCGCCGACGAGGGCGTTGAGCCCCGTGTGGACGAGGATGTAGCTGTTGCCGAGGTTGAAGACGATGCCGACGCTGCCGCCAGAGACGAGGAAGAACGTAAGGCAACCTCTTGCAATGGCATGAACGAACGACAGCTAACGCCATGCGCAGTTGAGAGGAAACAAGCCGCACTCGACGAGTGGAGTCAGCTCGAAGCCAGATTTGTGCTCTTCCGCGAGAGGTCAGTCCCCATGCCGGCTCATGCCTGCCCGTTTACTGACTTTTGCCAGGCTCTACAAGGAGCGCCTTGAGCGTTTGGAAGCCGAGGAGCAGTCTCTCCAGTCCGACAATCCTACCCACCCTGAATATCTTCTCATGAGGCAATGTCTCGACGAGCGACTCGACAACAGGATGCGCGAGGTCAACAGGGAACATGAGCTCACAATCCAAGCCCTCGACAGACTCTCCGTTGCACGCAGGGCGCAGATCTGGGGTCAATTCTACCAGGGTATCCGGGAGAAGCGTGAGCAATACCTGGAATCGCTCAACCAGGAGTGGTACGAAACCCAGAACGCCAGGCGCAGCGCACATAGCGTCCCCGATTACAGCATTCAATTCCCCACGATCCCTGCCCAGCGCACCAGGAATGCTGTCGCATACAACACTGAGGTGGCCTACCTCGCCGGCCTCGCCAAGCATGAAGGCTTTCCCGCGGTTCCTGCGATGCGAGGTGCAAGCGCTGCCGAAATTGATGACGATCTGGAAGCTATCAAGGTATGTCAAAACAGCAGTACTTGTGTGTCGGGGAACTTTCTTGCTAACAACAGTCAGCGAGCCTCGCGTTCTCGCCAGAGATCAATTATGCAGCCTCTTGAAGACTATCAGGCCGTTTCATTTGGAGGTACGCTCGGTCCGGCCGGCGAACAGTTTATCAAGAACACGCCTTGGGCAAACCCCAACCACATCTCCCACAAGATGCAACATGTGCCTCTTCACTCTGAGCCCGGTTCCAGCACCGCCATGCCCTCGGCGCCGCCACAAGCTGGTCCCTCGCATGTGGGCCAACACCACCACCACCATCACCACCACCATCAGCAGCAGCAACATCTGCCGCCGCCGCCGCCCAACGGACAGGCAACATCTCAGCAGTCACCAACACTATCAGCCGTGTCTCCAGAGACGTTGCGAACGGCCAGCGTCCTCAGCCAGGGCGTCCACATGAAGCATGCGGGAATGGGCGGTGTGGGCCGCGGAACCAAGGCAGTACAGGCACAGGAGCCGGCATCGAAACAGGATATGCCCATGGCTGTGGCAACCTAAGCGACGCGATCACCGGGCGGCAATTTCGGCGTTTCATTTGCGGAGGGCGCTCACACGTGCGATGATACCCAGGCCACAGGTGACACAGGGCCTTTGTTTTCGGATGTCCATACTCGGCGCGCCACCACGCGCAACTAGAACTGCTGGCATTCAACGAGGCGCATATGCGCTCCTCACAGAGGGCGAGAGTTTTCATGTCCTCGAGACGAGCGGTGGGGGGAGGGAAGTGGCTTTGCTTTGCTTTGTGTAATGAGAAATGTACAGGATACGGGATAGGGGAGCGGTGATGGGAACCTAGTCCTCGGGTGTTTTCGGCAGCATCGATCGCATATAACGCAATGGAGTCAGTCATCAGTGAGGATGTCGGCAGCTCAATGGCGGCAGCACCTAAATTCCTGCTTGCTCATCTGGTCGAATACACTCCGAGTTGTCAATTGTCAAGCATTGGAGCGTGAGCGTGGGCGTGAACGTGAGCGTGAGCAGGGGTCCTGGGCGGAATGCACACCGCGGGGTGCAGGCCTATCGATAAGACGGGCTCCACCAAAAAAACTGTTCCCAGCCTTTGCGTTCAACTTCACCATTGAGCTCTGCACGACAAACTCGACTGCCGCCTTGTCGCCACTGTCCATTGCATCGATAGACCGAGCGAATATACCCCTTGCCAACGCTCGTTTTTCAATCTGCCCGGCGTGTCAAGAAGGAACGAAAAGAAAAGACCGGCCAATCTCAGACCCACAGCCCACGATGCTTCGTCAAGTGTGAGTCTCGAATGCCAGCAGCCTCTCTACGCCGACTATACATCTGACCAGAACAGCAAGCCGCGCAATGCGCGAAGCAAGCGCGCCCTCGCCGATCGCGAGCCCAAGGTCGTCGAAAACCCCAAGCGTCTCATGGCCCTCAAGGGCTCGACGTGCAGCCAGGCCGTGCAGGATGCGCTGAGCAACCTCTGCATCATGCGGGAGCCGCTCGTCAAGAAGTGCGATTCAGCCCCCCCCCCCTCCCAGTCTGATATTCCCGAGTGAACAAACAGGAAGAAGACTAACAGGCATGTGAAAAAAAAAAACAGGCTCACGAAGAAGAACGAGATCCACCCGTTTGAAAAGGCCGACTCGCTCGAGTTCCTCGGCGAAAAAAACCAGTCGTCCCTCGTCATGTTTGGGTTCCACTCGAAGAAGCGGCCGCACACGATCACGTTTGCGCGCCTCTTTGCGCACAAGGTGCTCGACATGCTCGAGATGCACCTCGACGTCGACACGTTCCGCCAGCTCGAGCAGTTCAAGGGCGCCAAGTTCGCCGTCGGCCAGCGGCCCATGGTCGTCTTCTCCGGCACGGCCTGGGACTCGCCCGTCGCCAACGAGTACACCATGGCCAAGAGCATGTGGACCGACTTCTTCAAGGGCGAGCCGGCGGACAAGGTCGACGTCGAGGGCCTGCGCTACCTCGTCAGCCTGTCGGTCGAGGAGGAGGGGCTCGCGGGCGCCAAGCCGCCGATGCGGCTGCGCGTGTACACGATCCGCACGAGGCGGTCCGGGCAGCGGCTGCCGCGCGTCGAGGTCGACGAGATCGGCCCGCGCATGGACTTTCGCGTCGGCCGCATGCAGCAGCCCGAGGAGGCCGTGCTCAAGGAGGCCATGCGCCGTCCCAAGACGACCGAGGAGCGCACCAAGAAGAACATCAAGACGGACGAGATTGGCGACAAGGTCGGTCGCGTGCACACGGGCCGCCAGGACCTCAGCCAGCTGCAGACGCGCAGGATGAAGGGTCTCAAGCGCAGCCGCGACGTCGCCGACGATGATGCGGCGAGCGACGACGAGGTCAAGACGGACAAGAGGAAGAAGAACTGAGGCAACGTCCCGGCCATGGGGTGGGAGGGGGGAGGGGG